TCGTACCCACACGGCCGCGGCCGCCACCTCATCCTACGAGCATCCTACAACCAACGCGTTTAGGAGGGCGTGGCATCTAGGGCTAAAACGACGCTAGGGATATGGCGGCGGCGCCGCCGTCTGTGTAGCTGGCCGGATGTGCGGGGCTGGATATGGGGAGGGGTTCTAGGGGTTCTTTTAATGGAAAATAGATATTATTTAGGGATCTAGTTGCAATTTGAGTAATTTTTTATATTCAATTAAATAAACAGAATATTAAATAAAATCAGATAAAATAATAAAATAGTATCGAACATATTGCACATTATCGGCTGATCGGTTACACTTTTGTGTTAATGTGATTGCACCTTAGTATAACAAGTGCTTTTAATTGGATTAATAATGTAAAATATTAAATACGACTCATGTACACAAGTTCGATTATCATTTTTTACTTATAAATTTTAATTATTTCGATCATAACATCAGCGTTATGTTTATATAATAATCAACCGACAAAACTATATAGTAATATGATTTTATAATATATATATATATAATATGCTTTTCAAATATGAATAATATAAAATAATAATTAAAAAGCATTAAAATACTAAAATTTAGTTTTTAAACTTTAAATTATTTTGCGTATTTATGTTAATCCGGTCAATCGATTGATTAAATAAGTTATTTCAGTTATATTTAGCTTGATGTGGGACAAGACATTAAAAAATTCATATATTGCGACCACAACAGTGTTAAGCGAATTGCACATTAACGACTAACATATTGCACACTAATGTTAGACGAATTGCACAGCATTTCCGGCACGATTGCACTTTATATATTTTGATATTTTTTATATTATATTTTTAATTATAAATATTATTATAAATATACATAATAAAATAAAATTTTTTGTATCGATAAATTAATTATATAATAAAAAGATATTTTAATCATTTAGGTTAATTCAATATACAGTTATATACATATTTATACATAAGTTATATAGGAGGTACAAATTAGACATTGCACTTTGTATAACGGAATGTCGCACTTTATAAAGCAATACGTTGAACTTTATCAAATCATCTATCTAAAAAATATACAAACATGCTAACGTACCAAAATTAATACATTGCACGTTGTATTGTAATGCGTTGCACCTTACAGCACAACATGTTGCACCGTAAAAAACTACGTATTATAAATATATTCTTACTTAACATATTTTTTAGTTTCAACCAAATATTAAATAAAAACATTAAAATTTTAATCATAGTTTGATTAATTACAAAGTGACACATGAACTAAATTGTAATATATTAAAAGATCTAATATGGCAATCAAACCCTTATCACTTATCAAAATTACAAGATGAAGCCCCCATAAAAAATAAAAATAAAAACTGAAACTCTCGTTCATCTTCTCTGTCACACCTATTGTCTTACTGATTCTCTTCCCAAAAGAAGACCACTGTGACAATGTCCGGCCACCGCCGTCAGGTCCACCGTGCTCCTCCGGCGTGAAGGTCGAGGGCTGCGACTGGCCGGCGTGGAGTTCTGACGGAGGTAGACCGGTGGCTGTCTATGATGGGACTGGACAGTCGTGC